TTGGTTCGGGTAGGTTGTAGGTTCAAACATTGCCTTGGGTAGGTTCCGGTGGCGGGGGGGGGGGGGGCGGGTTGACCATATATTATACCGCCCCCAACTGGAACCTGCCAAAACCAGTATGTTTTCGTAAATCTGCACAACTGTTACCTGAAACCATACCCTACACCCCACACCCTAAATTCTGATGTCTTGGAGGTTCTCAGGTGTTCCCGGCATTGCCAGCGACATGATAGCATCTAAGAACAACATCTGCAACACATCAGCCGATGCAGATTTACCTGTAGATCTATTCCATGAAGAACTGCGATGATGATCTACCTGGATTATCCTGGATTGCATGTGCACGATGCACTGAACTGCGCAGAAACATCTTGCTGAATCAAGATCACGTCTTGCCTTGGCTTCGAAACTTATATTTATGCCTCGAAGTCTCAGAAAAGTAGGGGTGGCCAACTGCCCACATACCCAACCCGAAACCCTAAACCCGCAGTCCATTCTTCAAGATCCTCCAAGTGCAAAGCCCAAGCGACTCACAACTCGAGCGTTGCTGAGCTCCATAGCCGCAACAAACTCTGCAATACTGCCTCAGGGTTTAGGGTTTAGGCTGTGATGTGTGTGGGGTCCGTAGTGCCGTAGTGATTGCAACCGAAACGAGTTCCTGGAAACATATGGGTGCCGAACACGGTCAAAAACCTCTGAAAGTGGAGCTGCCAACCTTGCAGAACCGTACCTCCCTGGCACCTGCCATTCTGATGGATGCCGTGCTTGAGGCTGTTGTTGTGGAGCTTGTTGCGCTCGATGTTGTTGTGGTGACTGTGGCACTCGACGTTGTTGTGGTGCCTGTTGTGCTCGATGTTGTTGTGGTGCCTGTGGCACTCGACGTTGTTGTGGTGCCTGTGGCACTCGACGTTGTTGTGGTGTCTGTGGCACTCGACGTTGTTGTGGTGCCTGTTGTGCTCGATGTTGCTGTGGTGCCTGTGGCACTCGACGTTGTTGTGGTGCCTGTGGCACTCGACGTTGTTGTGGTGCCTGTGGCACTCGACGTTGTTGTGGTGTCTGTGGCACTCGACGTTGTTGTGGTGCCTGTTGTGCTCGACGTTGTTGTGGTGCCTGTGGTGCTCGACATTGTTGTGGTGCCTGTTGTGCTCGACGTTGTTGTGGTGATTGTGGTGCTTGATGTTGTTGTGGGGCTCGAACTTGTCAGCGTGCTGGTGGAAGTGGTTCCAGTTGCGGATGCAGATGTTGTGGTCGACGTCAGTGACGTCGTCGTCTGCGTAGCTGTCAAGCTAGTTGTCGTCAGACTGGAACTGGTGGATGCCGTCGTTGATGCCGTTTCCGTGAAGCTGGAACTTGTTGATGTGCTTGAGGTCGTGACTGTGGCCTAAACCAGCTTGGATTTGCAGATGGAAGAGACAAGCAGGCTTGCAAATGTCGTTCAAAACAACTTGGTCACGTACCACTCTTGGCTACAACATGCCCATTACTTGTCTATGGACTTCTTATATCGGCTTCCGACATCACGCAGAATGCGATGGTGTGGAAGTCCCTCAGACAGCTGTTATCTGTTTATCAATACTCCCTAAATCCATCTCATATTTCATGAGTTCATGTTTGAGTTGCCAGGGGGTAGGGGTCCTGGGGTTCAGCCAATTTTGGCACAAGGGGTCCTGGTGACGTTTGCTTGAAAATACAAAATGCAGAGGCCTGGGTAGACGTAGAAGTTGCCGAGGTAGAGCTCAGTGTCTTGGATGTCGGAGTCACTGTTGTTGTGATGGTCGTGGTTGTGGTCGCCTCTCACAGACTCCACAGCCAATGTTCATGCAAGTTATGTGAGTTTATGTGAGTCTACGGACGAATATGCCTGCTCCATGTCCAAATTCATCGGGTTTCAATTATGGGGCTGACGTCAATGTTGGCGTGGTGGGACTGCTATCAAGAACCTTCCGACCAGCTGCAGCAGCTATAAAACGAAGCAGGGGTCTGAGACACTTGGCTGCCTTGGCACCAGCGCCGGTTGGGCAAGCCGGGAGTTCCGGGGATGTGTAGCGCAAACCCTCTTGTCAACTCTAAAACCTAAGCCCTGAAACCTAAACCCTATTGAAACAGGGGCCCCCTCCTCCTTTTCTGTGAATCACATTTCTATGAAGAAACCCTAAACCACTCGACCTGAAGCTTCGGGGTCTTCTGCGATTTCCCCCTCCGTACCGAGTCTAGTTGAACAGTTGTGGGGTGTTAATGAGGACACCCCTGGGCGTGTCCTCATGCACACGAAGGCCTGAACCCTAAACCCTAAACCCTGAACCCTGAATTCCGACCCTAAACCCTGAACCCTAATCCCTACATTCCCAGCCCCGGACCGTGGTCGTGAGCGTCGTAGTGGTCGTGGTGCAGTTCACCTCACACGCGGGCTCCCATGTACTAGGGTTAAAGCCCTGGTCGCTCCATGTATGATGCGGTTTGCGGGAGTGAGTTGTGCCCCGCAATAAGCCCGTTCACCGTGGGACACCCCTTGCTATTGCCAAGATGGGTTACGAAAGAAGCTACTAATACCTAAACCCTAAGCCCTTGAACCCTAAACCCCGAGCCTAGCTAACAGAACGATTGTGCTTTGTCCCTGGCCTGGTAGACGTGCAGGTCGTCCCAGCCTGAAGCTGGTCTGCAGAAGTCGCCCTATGACTCTAAAACCTAAACCCTCAACCCCCTTCCCGGGCAACAGTATAATCTTCTTGAAGAGACGCCCCAAACAAACAGCTGAATTCGGGATCTACATGAACCCTGCCGTCTTCTTTCCCAAGGCGGGGTCTAGGGTGTAGGGCGGAGAAAATAAACACACCAAAGGCGGCTGGGGCACCTGAAGTCACGTCGTCTCTGCGGCCCCCCCAGACGTAAAACTGCCCCTCCTCGGGACTCCAGCCCGAGACAAACTCGTAGCCTCGGCTTCGACATATAATTTTATGAAGGCAAAAGGAAAGCAATATAATATAGGGTTTAGGGCGTATACGGTTTCGGGTTCATAAGATTTAGGGTTTAGGGTTTCGACTCACACACTCGCTCAAGGCTGGCATGGTGTTCGAAGGTCTGGGATTACGGTCTCACAACTCGGACAAGCCAGGCGAGGTTCATGGTGCGAAGTCGGTGTGACGCAGGAGAACAGTCTGTTTAGGGTTTATAGGATTTCGGGTTTAGGTTCATGCTAGTAAAGGAGGAAGAGGGAGGAGGAGTAGTCGAAATTGCCTGCCCCCTCTCTTTGTCGTAGCAGTCTACATGTTCCTCAATCAGGTATGAACAGATCTCGACTGGACCCTATCAAGTGAGGTGAACTCTCCGTTGACTGCGGCAGGTCTGAGCGCATGATTCCCGCATTTTCCCGCACCGGGTCGACGAGCAGACACGACAAACTTCATTAAGCCAGCAACCAAAGAGGCCCAGACAGATTTGACACCTCCGCCACAAGGAAGAACTCTTGCAGGTGGAATGACAAAGCGGACACTGCTCGTAGTTGATGATACCCGTCGCTGACAGAGCGTCGTCATTGGGCCAGGGCCGCCACCACACCATTCTATTCAGTGACCACTAGATAGAAAACGCAACAGGAGTGACTACAAAGAGGCTTGGCAGGGGACTTCAACGATCACGGAGGGAAAATGACAATCTCCTCCCCTACCGGGGCCCCAAGTACGGGGTCATTAGGGTTTACGCTCTCACAACTCGGACAAGCCAACGGTTTAGGGTTTAGGGTTTGGCGGTTTCGACTCACACACTCGCACAAGGCAGAGGGTGTAGGGTTTATTCGGGCTTTGGGGTCAGCGAAAACTCGATGTCGACCCCAAGAGCCGCCCGTCTTCGTGAAATGTCGTGAGCTGGTCTCGCCCTCACCTGTACGTTAGGTAAACTCGACTTGAGGTATCCGTCTGCGCCGCCGCGTGCGACAGCCCAGGATGTTGACACCTTCACAGCCCTTTGCTGATGCTTCCGGTGCTGGGATGACAGCGAATCCGGACAACGTGCGGAAATCGAGAGCATAAGCAATAACTCGGTTGCTTATGTGCCGTGGCCGCCAGCTACTCGCCCTGGCACACTTGCACCGGGCAGGCGCAAAGAAACAACTTGCGAAGGGTGGTGCGCAGCTTTGCTGGGCCCATGTCTCAGTGATCTGGTTTTTTCTCTCGAACTCATATTTTTCTGCTGGCTTATTCTGCCTGTCCTGACATCATGGAAGAGACGTGCAACATCCGTTTCTGTGTGCAGATGAAGTGTATCCGAAAACTGTCTCGAAAGTGGTCCTCAAAAAAGCGACATCGACAGCAAAGGTGACTGGCTTTCGAAACCTTGGTCAGGTCCAAGTCCAATCCTTCAAATCCTTGCACGTGCCCCATCTTTTTGTGGGAAAGCTTAAAAATGCTATAACAGGCGAGTTCTCAGAACTAGACAAATCAAGCTAGGTGAGTTCAGACGGCCATTTCGACTGCTACGAAGCACGATTTTCTTTGGCCTTTGCAAGACTTTCAGACACAAAGTTGGTATACTTCGATGGACGAAAAGGGCAAGCTTTATCCAAGGAGCGCGAGCTGGGCGGTGTGCCAGTCGGAGAGACCGCCGTCCAGGAGTTGTTGCCCTACGTATGCTTCTGTCATGCGTGCAAATAGTGCATCATAGCTATGGATGTTGAACACAGCTCATACATCTACATAGTAGTTCGTTGTTCACTGAAAGCAAAACTGAATATATCTCAATGCACACGTCCCCCGTACATTCATCCCCTTCAAAGCCCCAAATCCTCAACATCCAGCGAGCGCCTCGTCGTAGTAATGCATGTCAGTGTTTTGGCCAACGCCCGCGAAGATGTACATCCGGCTTTCCGCAGAGCTCCAAAATATGCCGCCGTTTGCTTGAATGCCAGGCAGGGAGCCGCCGGGGGAGAGTTGGTGCCAGGAGTTGCCCTGCGATCCGAATATCCCGCATGCATTGTTTGTTTTTTTGCCACCGGCCCAGCTGACAAAGTCGCACCGCAGGGAGTTCGTTGGAGGAGTCTCGAGAGGTTCGGGGGGAGCACCAAGGTCGAACACACACTCCAATGTAAGAACAAACCAACACCAGCTATCACCCGGTAGATTTCATGGAGTTTGCGGTCGCTTCGGCACTCCGTTGGCTAGCAGAGTCCTGAAATAAGTCAATGCCATTAGCCCGAACGAGCCCCTACAATAACCGGGGGAAGGTCCAGGTCCAACACTTCAGCCCTTCACAGCCTCAAAGTAATAACAAGTTAGACCCAACAGCTAAGGGGCTAGGCAGGAGGCAGAGACGGTGGTGTTTGGAGGCCTGTCTACCCGACTAAGACTTCACCTATTGCCGAAGTCTAAAGTACCTGCAAAAAGGAGAAGCATGGACATGCTTTATTTGCTTATAGGTTTTTTTTTGAGCACCTTTTTCCGCCTTACCAATCCCAGCTCAACAGAATCCACATTGTGGAAGGCTCCAACTACACCACCCTGTTTGACCCTTCGACCATCACCTCAATCACCACGTTCACTGCCACGACCCTTGATGGCTTGCAGGGCTTGCTGAGTACGTTCCGCAATCGCTTTCATCTCCTTCTCGTGACGAAGTTCGGCTTCATCCCACATCACTAGCTCTTTCAACTCTGGTTTGATCTTCTCCAAACCCTCATCACGGAGTCGTCGGAACCACACCAGCCAGACAGCCCCAAACCTGCTGATAACCATAGCATCGGTCAAGGCACCGGCCATCCATTCCTGGTGGAAATCCTTGACGACAAACCACGGGACTCGGAGCTCTGCAGGCAATTCTTCAGGAGGCAGCAAATGGAAGTTCACTCCCCGACGAGCTGCTGCTGTATCAGGCAAGATGTCGAGGATTCGCGGCAGAAGATGCCAGATAGACTGTAGTCCCCACACTCGCCACTGGCGAAACAGCCGAAGCCACGAGGTACCGTAGGTCTTGCACACCTCATCATCGTTACACTCCCCAGTTTTCCACTGCCCATAGACAACCTCAAACTGTGCATAGCCCGGTCGCACCCAAACACCATTTTCGTTGTGCCTCATACCCTGGTGTGACCCTGGCCCTTCATCCAAGCCAGTCTGCTGTCCTTCCGGAACTGGACAGTCCTCAGAGCATGAGCTCCAGGACGTCGGCCCCATAGTGTAGCAACACCTCCCTCTGGTTGAGTTCACCCCTGGACCACCTATCATACAGCACCTCGTACTCATCAAACTCCATGAGCTGAAGGAGGCCGGGGGCTGTGTTGCACTGAGCCGCTTGGCTTTCGTGCCCCGTCTCCATGCCTTCCGATTGCACGGGCTGCTCGAGGGTCTCCACGACGGCATCAGGCTCCACTGCCCCGGAAGCCTCTGCTAAGGTGCCGGCTGCAACCGGGTCCATCGTCGGCGGGTGTAACTGCAAGGTTGAAACTTCCGAGGGTGCTCTTTCAACCTCCGCGCGGAGACGAAGCGAGACCTGAGTGCCATCAACGGGCAGGTCCAGACCCAGGGTCCTCACTACTCTGGGGTGATCCCCGCTGCCAGTGGCGACCTCCACCTTCAGGACACAACGGTGGTGGTCTGAAGTCGTGTTCAGCCGCGCTCGCTTGAAGGCCCTGTCCTCTTCACTTCGCTCCCACTGCTTGTACTGAGCTGCTTCTTCTTCCAGATGCTGGACCTCCTGAAGACATAGTGCCTCTTGAGCTGCCTCAGCCTTTTGTCGAGCATCCTCTTCCTCCTCTGCCTGCAGCTGCATCGCCAACCTCTCTGCCTTGGCCTCCTCCTCATCTCTTACCAACTCATCGATCATTTCTTCAGGCACTGAATCCACAAGCTGTGCATCTTGACCGCCTGTAGCCTGGAATAAAGGCACTGATCTCTTGAACCCAACCCTGTATCCACTGCTCTGGTGCTTCTTGCTGGCCTTGAGCTTCCTGGCTGTCATCCTGTACGGCCACTACCAAGGCTTGCAACTGTGCCTGGTACGAGACAGCCTCGAGCTCCATCATCATGGTCGGCATAGCCCCTCGTAGAGCAGCGACGCTGCGAACCCTCATCGACTTAGGTTGTCCTTCGAGTTCTTTATGAAGGCGAAGAAGGGCACGAGCCCACCGTCTGGGCATGGAGTCCCGGCCGTCCGTTTGGAAAAAGGTTTGCATGTGAACAGACCCATCTCCTTCGTCATCCTCTTCGTCATCAAGGTCTACCGGGTCCGTCAGGCCAAGCCTAGTGTTTCGAATCGCCTGCGCCATGCTCATGGTTTGCGAAAGTTCTGCCATCAGGTACCTGATCATGGTCAACAGGCCAATCGTCAGCATCTGCATGTTGTACTCCGACATGGCTTCGCAGTGCAACGGGACGTTCGTCAGGGTTTCCTGTGGAAGCCAAGTTTCTCGAATTTTGCCCCTGCCAGGCACGAAGCTGTTGCGATCGAACAGCAAATACCTCCACATGTCCACCGCCTGGTCCACCGTGAAGGGCTCCTCCAAGTCAGGCATTCCAGACGATGTGTCGACAACCCTGACCTCATCCCTGCTTGGCCCTCCACTTCCCGAGGCAGGCTCCGAGGCCCTGTGCGAAGCTCTGCATGAGTCCCCACTCCCTGATCCTCGATGGGCACGGTCAGACGCCGCAGCCTCTCGTGTCTGCTCGGGCCTCTTCTTAGGCAAGGCCGCAGCACGCTCAGCATGCCTTGGTTGGCCACTCCCACTTGCTCGACCACCCCCTAGATGACGAACTTCTTCTGTCACCCTTGGCCGCTCTCTGTGCCACGTCCCCTCGCCGGTGTTCTCGATCGAGGCCGGTGTCTCCTCCTCCTGTCTCGGCCCGTTCTGTCCATCATGCTGACCTCATCAGTCAGCTGCTGGGTGTCATCTGCTGAGTCCTTATAGACCTTGTGCAGATGCGCTTCAACTCTGCGCGACCAAAGATAGAAACGAGGTGGGGTCGTTTCAGCCAACATCCAGTCACACTCCGAGATGCCTGCCCCCACTGTACGAAGAGGAGCAGCAGCCCATTGGGAATATGACCCACAATTGCTCCATCAGCTGTGCCCAAGTTTCTTCCAGACTCCGTCACCCTGAGGAAGGTGCACCCACCTGCATCCGATGGTCTGCTGGCTCGCACCGTCCAGGCTCTTCCAACATCCCTCCACCATCCGGGGAAATCGTCGGTGTAGTCAAGCGATCTGTGCGTTCGTCGTGGTCCCCTTCACTCTGGTTTGCCTGACCTTCAGCCTCAGTCCTTGGCCGAGGGAGGGAGCAAGTCGGTGCGACCTGCAGCAATCAGGTCCTGTCTGGTCGACCAGGAACCATTCGGCCACACATAGGCTGCATGTATGATCATTCCACAAGGGGGTTGTGTTGATGAGGCTGCTGCTGCTGGGGACCTACTGGCATTCCCTAGCGAAGGGTCCCTCTCCTCCTCTGCCGACCTCGTACGCCTGGCCACCCTGGTCAGCTCGGAGAACACAAAGGTAGCCCATGTCTCCTCGTCGGTGGCATGCTCGGAGGTTACACCTCCTTCCTCGCCATGATCCACTTCCAAGATGTCCGGCAGATGTGCTCGGGCCACACGTCCAATCGCAGGGTCTGGTTCCTGTCTAAGCATTTCCCGAAGTCGAAGAGCTGCAGCCGAGTGCCGCCCCTGAGTTTGCAAACACCGGAAGCCATTGATGGCTGTACGGAACCAGCCCGTCGTAACACTGCAGCTCCTTGAACGAAACTTAGTGCCATAAACTGTTCACCCTGGCTAGCCCCTGTGCCCAGCCCCAAGGCAGTCTTCTCGTTCAGCGAGCTCTGCAGCAGGTAATCGGAGGGGTCCCGGGGCTTCAGCTCCCGCCGATCTCGGCCGTGTTGAACCTGTCTGCACCCTCCGGAGTTCGTGCGGAGAATCATGTAGTCGGGGCGGATCCGGTGGTACAGCTCCCGCCGAGCTTGGTCACATCGTGGCGAATCAGGCTGTTCGAGGGGTCGTGCGAGAAGTTGTTCAGGCTCAGGTGGTGTAGGTTCTGAATTCACTGTACCATACATGCATTGCTCCAAGACGTCATTGCGATCCGAGGACATGCCGAAGTGCTCCCTTCGGGGAGTCGGCCAATAGGTCACCATACACATGCCGCTTTCCCAACTGAAGTTCACCATCACGGTGTTTGATGGTCCAGCTTGGCCCGGTAGTCAGGTGCCTCAGTGGGGACCACCGCCCAAACAGCAGTGCCCATCATCCACAGGATGACTGATATGGAAATATGGAGAGCCATGGTGCCTCAGAGGGCGCGAGGTGCAAAAGCTGCTCTACTGGCCGCTTGATCGCTGACATCAGGCAAGCAGCGCCTTCACAAAGCAAGACCAAGCTAGCAAAGAACCCTGCCTCACACTGTACACCCGAATTAGGCTGAACCTCCCTCTCTCCCTCAGTCGTTGTGAAGAGGTCACCGAGACGAAAAGCCACGAATTAAACTACGTGAAGAAAGACCCTGTTCACATCACAAGTACTGGTACTCGACGAAGTTTTACTGGTTGTTGTTTTTGATGGAGAGCTGCCGACCCGAGGCCCAGGGAACGTCCATGCGGGCAACCCAGGCATCCTCACGAGCATTCCATGCGACTCTATCATGAGCAAGGTTTCTCCAGGGGGAACCAGCGATAGCGTCCATGTTCTGTTCCAGGATGGTGAGCCGGGGGTAGTGATGCCCTTTGTGTCGAAGACCGTGCCTCAACCCTCTTTGATGCTGCCACCATGGTAAGGTTCTAAAGGTTTCGAATTCGCTGCTGATAGGAGGTGTGGATCGCAGAGTGGCCCTGACCCTATGCCCTGCGAAAGCCCAATACCTTCGCAACCAGAGGGTGCTCCATCGCTCCACTCCAGCCGAATGAAGTGCCGACCGGGCACCCCTGAAGGCCCGCTGCCTAAAGCATTCCCACGGTTCATCAGCACGCTTAGCAAAACGCAGCAGCCAAACCATCGACTGCAGCTGCACCGAGTTGAGCATGGTCATGGTGGCTGCATCCGGCGGCAAGCAACATATGCACCATAGTGCTGTATTCCCTACCACTCGCTGCATGACCCGAGCCCTCTGCTTCATAGACCCACCTCGAGATCGGAAGATGTTTTTGTGATCCCAAAATTTGGCCCTGGCTCGACTCGCCAGAGGGGCTGCAAGCTCGTAAATCGAGCCCCCTACCTGCAGGGTAAGCCCCATCACCTCCAGGGAATCTACAGCCTGAATGCGCGTTCCATTCAGCAGGATAGAGCGATTTCCGATCACCTTGTCAGACGCATACAACTGGCATTTCTGCGGGTTAAGTCTAAGACCAAAGGCAGAGAGCTCCACTGCAAGTTGACCTGCCCGTACTTGCACCGTGGAGGGTGACCCGCTCCAAATCATGCCATCGTCCATGTACAGCATTTCCTCCGGTACCAAACCCTCAAAAAGCCTGGGCCCCTCATGCCAACCGTACTTCTGGATCGCCGTGTTCATCGCCATCTCAGCTATCCAGGCGAACATGGCTGGTGATTCAACAGCCCCCTGCTTTATTCCCCTCATCATCTGGACCTCCGTGGACCCCCAGGGTGTCTGCAGCTGACCAACCGTACCTCGCAGCAACCCTTTCCAACAGTTGAGCTCAGGACCTGCCCCGATGGCCTCTTCTAACTTCTGGAGGAGAGCAGGTCTATCCAGGCTGTCAAATGCCTTTTCCAGGTCCATCTTGAAGACTGTGAGGGGGGTCCCCCACTCCCGAGAGAGCTCAAACAGTCTAATGATGGTATAGAGGTAGTCACACGTCTGCCTTCCAGGACCTGAGCATTGAAGACCACTGGTGGGGGCCAGGGCAGGCATCGCTCGGTTCAAAAGCATGCGACTGAAGAGTTTGCTCACTCCCGACCCCATGGCAATCGGTCTGAGCTCTTTCGCCTTCTTGGGAGCTCGTATTTTGGGGAGCATGATGAGGACAGGCTTGTTCCACTGCTCTGGGATGCACTGGGTGGCCAATATCCTGTTAAACCATTCGAGGAGATGCTCTTCTCCTCCAGGAACCTCCAGTAGGCCAACCACCAACTCAGTGGAAGTTCTATCTACCCCCACTGACTTACCGCGCTTCATCTGACTGACCCCTTTGTGCAACTTTTTGGCAGTGAAAGCCACAACATCCCCTGGCCACGGGCCTGCAACCCCCTCCACTTCTCTGCCATGATAGACTTCGGCGAGGTGATCGTGCACAGCAGCATGGGGGTCACCCTCCTGTGCCTCGGCGAAACCCACATCCCAACCCTCCTGCCTGCGAGGTTTGAGAGCACGGAAGGAGTGCCAGTCCCCCTGGCTGGCCTTCACCACCCGATCCTGCTCCCAGGCTCTGCGAGCTGCCTTGCGAAGCTTCAAGGCCTGTTTCCAGAGAGCTGAAGATCCCGATCGTTTAGCTGCTCGGAAGGCTTGCTTAATCTCTGCCGTGTCTCTATAACCCTGCCCCGGAGCTGGTCTGGTGCATCGATCTGCAAGGTACTCAATGTGGTCCTGATCCATGTGATTGACCTGGTCAATCCCTCCAATCCAAACCCTGGGCCCCGTCGAGTGCCTAACCCGGCTCTGCTTGGTGTTCAAGTCAAATTCCGAATGACACATCTCATGATCGGTGCCAAGCTTCATGTAGGATTCCTCATGAATGTAGAACTTGCTGCACCGAAGCCCTTTAGAGCATGCCACATCGATGCATTGACCCTGTCGTCCCTCCTGCCTTGGTCTACTTGTTGGAGTGCTCCACTGATCCGGCCCGGGAATCCCCATCTCGAAGTCCCTTTCTGTCAGAATTCTGTGCAACATCCCTCCTTTGCCCTCCTTCGGCACCGCGGTTGCAGCATCCCCTTCATTGGCCCACTGAGACCCTGTGTTGACGTCCCCTTGAAACACAACCTTCTGCGAGCTGGGTGGCAGGCTGTCAAAATGTTCCTGGGCCTCTTCCTCGTATTGGGAGACCGAGCATCCAGGTGTAAAGTGGGCAGTGCCGACCCACAGTTCAACGGGAGCTTCCAAATGACGAACCTTGAACCATACCCTTTTGGACGAGTGAACTTTGTGAAGGAGACACCACGAAGCCATATCATACCAAATCCCCGTCCCCCTCCATTGACCCTCCCTACGATGAGACACCACTCTGCGACCTGCCAACGGCATGTAGTTCCATCCCTCTCTCTCCCTGGGCAGCTCTTGGATAAGCACAATGTCCTGTTTTCGCAATGGGTCTCCCAAGGCCTCCCGGACTGCCTTTGGCAGCTCGACAAGATCTGTCCCGCCCACATTCCAGCCCACCACTCGCATCCTGAATTGCGTCAGCTGCGGTGGAGAAGGGCCCGAAAGAAGGGGCTCAAGCCTGAGAGTGTGCCCACATGTTGGCAAACCTGTAGCCGGTGACTGCGAAGGACCCCTTGAAGACTCCCATTCGCCAGCGACCAGCTTCGGCTCAGCTACCATAGCATCCCCTTCGTCTCAGAACTTGTGCTCAGAGATCAAAGCTTGGAGGTCGGCCAAATTCATGTCAAGCCACTTGCTTATAGGGTTTAGGGCCAAGGGTTTAGGGTGTGGGTACGTTATTTGGGGAGCAGGTTGTGGGCCCTATAGATCCTTCTTGCACGGGCCCACTCCCATGCGCTCCCGGTGCGGCGCAGACATCGCACGCCAGACCACCCGGAATACAACTTTCTTAGGGTTTAGTTCCTAAAGTATTTTTTCGCTTTTCCAGGACGGGGGCCTGGTCAATCCTGGCGGGGCGAACATGCATTGACGGATGCGTACATAGCCACCGTGGGTCTGGAAGTAGTTTGTAGCCATTTGTAACTTTGTAACGATACCCATGCCTAGCCAGGGCCATGGACCCCACCCAAACACCTGCCGGGGCGAGCCTAGCACAGCCCAGGAGGGAAACCGAGGGGTCCTGGACCAGCCCTTTTTGCCCGAAAAAAGCAGGGACGTCTGGGCAACTTTCAGCGAGGAGAGAGCCAGGATGGCTACCAGAGAGACGTGTTACGTTGCGCACAAAGAAACAGTCCTTCGGTACAGAGTTTAAAGCTTCCTGCGAAGAAGATGCCTTCCTGGTTAGTTAATGCCTTTGATAGCAGCTAAAATCGTAAGCGTCAGCATAGAAGCAAATATAGCATGGCGGCAGTGACCCAGCTTTACCTGGGCCACCAGAATCTGTTTCCTGTCGCTTGCGGAAGGCTCGGACGGCTTCGAGCTCTGAAGGCTGCACCTCAAGCCCTCAGGCAGACTTTAGGGCTGTAGGGTTTTAGCTAAAGCCACAGCAGGCAATGCTCTTCACAATACTCTTCGACTTAAGCTACAGCCCAGCTCGGATGCTTTGGGGCCCAGGCCCCCCCCCTTTTCCAGGCCTGACTGTCGAAGTAGTGAAGGTCATCCAAGTAGTTGTCGGATCCGTCCATGCCCCCGTAGATGTACATGAAGCCATCCGAGTTCCACACGGCATGGGAGTATCGTCGCCCAGCTGGCGGCGAGCCGCTGGGCGACACCAAATTCCAGGAGTTGGCCTCGAAAGATCTACAAGAGCCTTGTGATGGATCTCTGAGAATCTCTTCTACTGCTTGCGCCAAAGACTCGCACACGCACAGGCGGCTACTCACATCAGAAGTTCCGCGGAGATGCCTATCTGAGACTTGGGAAAATCTTCCCGGAGATATTCAGGCCTGGGTGTCGTAGTAATGCAGATCGTTCAACCGGCCTCGGACAATTGGGTACTCTTTCCATCTTGCTGCGCGAAGCAAATTCCCTGAGGCTGCTGCTGTCGGTTTGGTCCTCCAGCCCGCCGAAGATGTACATCCGGCCGTCAGGGTTCCAGGCTGCAGAGTGTTGCACGCGTGGACTCGGCGCGGAGCCCGTTGCATTGAGCAGTTGCCATGTGTTGTCTGCCTGCGCGAGTTACAGGCAAGCTACCTGGGAAAGGATGGGGTTGACATCTGACTGGTGCGCGGCAGCAGCCTGTGTGCACTTATGCTCCGGCAAAGCAAGTGGCCTGACCGCCGTAGGAATACAAATCATTGACACGGCCTCAGAAGCAACCCAACCATGCACAACCTCTGCATCCGACTTGTTCTGTTGCACACTGGGGTCGGCGCTGATGCCGTTAATGCTCTCTCCTGCGAAAATGTAGAGCCGGCTGCTGCCCCAAACAGCGGTATGTAGCCATCGCGCGCTGGGCGGAGATCCACTGGGGAATAGCTGCTGCCAAGCGTTGGCCTCAGACATGGACAAGCTTTGCAAGCAGTGCAGTACCTACATTCGTCACTTTCTCAAGATGAAGGTAATGACAAACAATGGGTGGGGGGTGAATCAGGCCGGGGGAGGGGCGGGAGGGGCCCCGATCACCCCTCCCAGGAGTTAAACTTAAATGATTCAAAACATTTGAGTTGTTCAATTTTTTTTGGGGGGACGAAATAAACACACAATCGTTAAACATGGGCCGGTGTTCAAATTCAAACTATTTTGATTATTTTATTCGCCCCCCTCCCCGAATTAGATAACTTAAATCCTGGGGGAGGCGGTCTGGGGCCTGGAGGGTGGGGAGAGGGGAATTGAACAGTTTAAATAATGGAGCAGGGGGTTCAGATTTAAAGTAATGAAATTGTTTAATTCCCTTCTCCCCTTCCTGGGGCCCCAGGGCCCGTACCCCCCTCCCCCAGGATTTAAATAATCTGCTTTACGTATTGTTAACAAAAGCTGGGGGAACGAAGTAAATAATCACAAAATTTGCATAAATGTGTGTAAGTGTATGTGTATATATATATATGTATGTATGTATGCTCGCCCCCCCCCCCCCAAGAT